GAGTTCGATGGAATTTCGTCGTAAACGATTTTGCAGTGTTTCGTAAAGATGAATCTCGTTGCAATCAATAGATAATTTTGCATTTAGTTCTATACTCTGGCTATTTTGGTTCAAAAATGGAATCGTAGTTGATTCCTGACGAGCGAGAACAGTTGCCTTTTTAATGAGGATGATCATTGAGTTGATGTGTGTTGACTTTATTATTGGATGAAGGGAGTCTAAGTTGGAGAATTTCAACTTAGTACAACTGAGTAATAATGTAAGATGATTGTGATCTTCAGACCGTCAGGAACCGAGGATATCGTTCGTGTTTATGCGGAAGGATCGTCTTCTCAGAATGCACGTGAGGTCGCTGATAAAGTGGCTGACATTGTGCGTTCAGTGACGAATGCTTAAACATTGAACATCTTATTATTCACTTATTATAACTGTGATTGAAACTAATCGGTGATATTCTCTTTTGAGCATTGAATATTGTGGTTTTATTTTTATATTTATGCAATCAATTTGATGTGATCATATCATCTTATCGTTTTATTGTGAGGGAGTTAATAAGGATGAACTGAGAGTACTTAAAAAGTAGGTCACTTCATAATGAAATAGGGATAAGCGAGGAAGGTTTTTTGCTTGTACTGATATAACTCTCGCTCCATTCTTGCGCTTAAACGCTACCGATTTCACATTTATCTGGACACCAGATTTTCATCTGGATGGGGTTTTTTAAATGATATCTCGTTAGATGCTCCCTGGTCAATAATTCTGCTGGTCCCTTTTCGCGTGAAATATATTGTGGTATAGCCAGAAAAAAAAAACGATATTACTAAGCACTGAAAGGTTTTGAAATCTTATACATTTCTTATTGTGATCGTTTGTGTTAGGGCATGTTCGATAGCTGTTCATTGTTTTAATTCTTAACCTTTTTAAAGTTCTTTCACATCGCAAATAGCCACGCATACTCTCAATTGTTTATGCTTTTAGTCTCTTTCGTACCATGTATTTTTGCAGTTTTCTACGTTGAAGCAATGCTAGCAATCTTATCGTAACACTTTTCATTCATTTTGAGCGATTCGGCCATAAGGCATTTCAAGTTTGTGAATGAATTAATTCAGTGTATGTGCATTCCATGTTTGCAGAAGATTTCATCTTTTTATGGATCTGATTATTTTGGTTGTGTTCACAGTTAATGCTGATTCATCTGGTATATCTGTGTTCGTCACGATTCTTCTGGAATGGAAAACTGAAGAAATTCTCATCTTCAAACATTTCTTCTCAGTTACTGAGCCTTTCACCAAATGACACAACAGCACTTTCAGTGTGCTAATGCTAATTTTGCCTACTAGCATCAATTTTCATCGATATATTCATTTCACGAGAATCCCTTCGAATATTCGATTATTCCTCAGCCTTTCAGAGGGTGCGAATTTCTTCAGTTTATCACTACAGCGCTATTCAGTTTTACTTTGTTCCCATTGAAAGGATGCATTCAGATTTCTATTTTTAGCGATGAGTGCCTTACTCTGTTATTGATCTTACCGAATCTGCGTTATTTTCGAATTTGTGTGCGCAAGTTTTAAATACCTTTCTCATAGTCAGTTTACTATTGAATATTACTAAAACGAATAAAAATGTTCAGTCATAACTGTTGTGTTGCGCTGTTTGCTTGTGACAATCAAAACGCAATTCATTCATAGTCTTTGAAATTATTTTCGTCACCAATAGAGTCGACTTCATTGTTCTGTGTAAGCAGTTCACGGTTTAACGAAGTTTTTGACACGAAAATGGAATTAACTGCATTGCTTCAGGTCTCATCACCTGGTATTTTCGATTTTAGTCGAGAAACAATAGCTGTTATATGTACAATTGACGGTTCGTCCACACTGACGACATTCCAGTCATAAACAATGTTTCATTTGCTCCTCGGTATAAATGACTTTCTGAAGCCTTAAAAGCTCATGTGAGAAGAAATTGTACTTTAAGATGTCAGAGAACACAACTATTGATCACATGAGATTGATGCTAAGCCATAAACTTACTGCAACCGGTGTACGGCTAATATTGATCATTAAGCACACAGATACGTTGACATTGTCAAGATAATTATCGAATGATCTTTCATACATTATCACATTAACGTTATCATCACAATTGCAAGCTTCTCTGCAAAAATTTGAAATTAACGATGAAAATTATTTGATATCGACCATCGGCTAGCTGAAGAAAGCCCATTATCTCATCAAATCTCAAATGCTCTCGCATGCAGACGTTCAGTTAATACTGTTGACGAAAATATCGTATGCTTCTGTTTACTCGCACATTATGTTAGTCCAGGTTGGAATCAGGATTCAGTAAACCATACTGTTGAAATTGGAAGATTTTTGAAATGACTGCATATGAATGTAATGATCAAGCGAGATCAGTAAATCAAAATCGACAAGTTTCAGTGCTACAGATTTGAAGCTTAACGGATAATCCATTATCAAATTCGCTTACATCGCTGAATGTGAGCAAACTTGACAATGAAATAGCGCTTCATAAAGATAAACATTATGTGCTGCCTGATTTCATCAGATGCATTTGATAGATTTTAATTCAACAGTAAATGCAAAAAGAGCAATTCAATAGATCCTCACATGAACATTCATAAAAATAGAGATGGGTTTAATATGATCGAGAAACTTCGAAAAATTTCGAAAGAAAATCCAGAACTAAGAATGAAACTAGTGTGTCCTTGTACCAGGTACATAATTACGGTAGACCATTTCGCTCTACAAATTCACATGTGAATTGAAAACGCTCATTGAGAGCTGTAATTTCATAGGAAATTATAAACTGATTGCAGGAGAATTCCGAGCAAAAAAGCTGCAAGACATTGATCGTTTTCTTATTCACTTTCTTCCAAGCTTACGAATGTCTACATCGCAACCAATGACGATCATCTCATAACGTAACTGAATGAAGAACGCTTTTTACTATTCCGATGACGCACACCTATGCTATGAGCAATTTTCATGAACACAAGAACATGAACGCATCATGAACACATTCACATAAATTCATGTTCATTTTCATGAAAATAAACTTATCTGAATATTATTCACACACCAATGAATTAATTTAGAACCATTATGAGGATTCGTTGCTATAGTAACCGGTCAAATGATCACATAAGCAGTTGGTAATCTTTAATATTTGTTGATATAGTGCGCTATTCTCGACGGAGCGTTCGTTGGTGTTGATGGGTACTGCGGCAAGCTCGAACGTTCGAGAGATCAGTATCACTCAAAATGATAGCAAATCGAATCAGTTGGTTTTCATTTTCATTGAGCATTCATCGTTCATATCATTTATTCGTTCATTTCTTTGAGCTATCTCATTGTGCAATGTGCTATGCTAA